TGGTTTTGTTTTTTTCTATTAGAAACTTTTTTTCCTTTTATTGAATTTATTGAGGTAAATGATACTGGTTAACAAAATTACGGTTTCAGGTGCATAATTCTACAACACATCATCTGTACACTATTGTGTGTACACCATTCCATGTCAGATCTGACCATCACCATTTATCCCCCCTATATCCTCCTCCATCTCCTCCCTCCCAACAATCACCATAGTGATGTCTGTGTCCGTGAGTTTTTTTTCTTTTTTGTTCAATCCCTCTGTTACAGGCACCCCAGAAACACCGAAAAAGCTGTCATAGGACACCCACCTGAGTTGAAGGAAGAGGGCTGTTTTCTCTTCGGTTCTTTCAGTCTCGTGGGAAGGAATTCAAACGAGTGACTTGGAATGATTGCTTGTAGTAAAGCCAATTTAAGAAAAAGTGAAGCAAGTAAATTTATTAAAGAAGCAAGGCAAGCCTGGCCAGCATGGCTCTGTCAGGTGAGCATTGTCCCCTGCATGGAAAGTTTGCTAGTTTGATTCCTGGTCAGAGCACATAGCCAGGTTATGGTTTTGGTCCCTGGTTGGGATGCTTGTGGGCAGCAGGCGATTGATGTTTTGCTCTCACATAGATGTTTTTCTCACCCTCTCCCTTCCTCTCTCAAATCAGTATGTGTGTGTGAATCTATATAAGTAAACATGTAAATGTTCGTTTGTTCAAAATCTTAAATCTCCAAAAGTTCTTCACCGATTGCTTTGAAATTTCGACACAACATTGCATTCAAATACGAGTGTGTTTTTATATACCTATATACCTACTATTATATAGTTGTAACACCTGTGACAGGTAAAAACATGCTTTTTTTGAAAAACAGCGCCATCTGTTGGACGTTAAAGCAACACACGCTAGACTAAATATTTTACGATTCCATTTCAATGTTTCTGTTTACAGTTATAAATTATTGACAAAATTAACTACAAATATGCATGTCCAGCTGCAAAACGATCGATCAGCTGAGATATTCTCACATCAATTGCTGGAAATTGGGAACGGAAAGATGCCAGCTGATCTGACCTCAGGACGAATTTCATTGCCTCTTAACTTCTGCAATTTAGTGACGTCAAAAGAAGAATTGGTTGAAAAAGTATTTCCCAATATCCAAACTAATTATAAGAATCACGACTGGCTGAGTGAATGAGCTATTCCTGCGGCCAAGAACAAAGACGTCTACGGACTGAAGAATGTCATTCAGTCTAACATTCAAAGCGGGGCAGTCACATACAAGTCCGTCGACACTGATGTGGAAGCAGATGAAGCAGTTAATTATCCAAGAGAATTTTTGAATTCACTCCATCTGCCGGGGATGCCACCGCACGTACTGCAGTTGAAAATCGGTGTGCCAATTATCATGTTGCAAAATATCAACCAGCCAAAGCTTTGCAATGGCACGCGGCTTGCAGTCAAAAAATTAATGAGCAACGTCGTAGAAGCAACAATCTTGACGGGACCTTTCAAAGGTGAAGACGTCCTCATTCCTCGCATTCCTATGATTCCAATGATTTCATTTTATTTTTTTGTTAATCCTCACCTGAAGATATTTTTCCATTTGTTTTTTAGAGAGAGTGGAAGAGAGGTGGAGAGACAGAGAGAAAGAAACATCAATGTGAGAGAGACACATTGATTGTTTGCCTTCCACATGCGACCCAACCTGGGCTGGGGATTGAGCCTGCAACTGAGGTACATGCCCTTGATGGTAATCAAACCTGGGACCCTTCTGAGCCAAACCGGCGAGGGCAGTCAAAATACATTTAAAAAAAAATATTTCTTTATTGACAACAGAGAGGAAGGGAGGAGAGAGAGATAGAAACATCAATGATGATAGAGAATCATTGATTGGCTGCCTCCTTCACACCCCCCCACCTGGGAACGTGCCCGCAACCCAGGCATGTGCCCTTGGCCAGAATAGAACCTGGGACACTTCAGTCTGCAGGCTGACGCTCTATCCACTGAGCCAAGCTGGCCAGGACTCAAAATATATTTTAAAAAAAGAAGCAAGGCAAACACATCTATTAAACTACATCTGGTGTAGAGGGCAGCCTGAAAAGCATGGTCGGTGGGGATTCAGTATTTTATACTTTCTATCTGTATGTTTTAAAATTCCTCTGCTGGATATCTTGGGACAGATTAACTCTTAAGGTCTCTCCTTTTACTTTGTTATGTCTTTCCTAGAATTTATGAGAAGTACCAGGTGATTTTGTCTTTTTTAAAAAAGATATTGCAGCTTTTTAAAAATACGTTTTTATTGATTTCAGAGAAGAAGGGAGAGATAGAAACATCAATGAGGAGAGAATCATTGATTGGCTGCCTCCTACATGCCCTCCACTGGGGATTGGCTGGCAACCCGGGAATTGAACCGTGACCTCCATAGGTTGATGCTCAACCACTGAGCCACACCTGCCCGGCTGAATGTATGTTACTGATGCAGCTTGTAAGTTTGCCCTTGTTTTCCTCTTTCATTTCCTGAAATCCATTTTGATCTGGCTTTATAATGTTTGCAACTTAAAGTTAATAAAAATCCCCATTGCTTAAAAAAAGTAAATCTAGAATTCAGGATTTCGTGAAATGTATGCATTCTTGCCTGGTCTCGTTATTCCAGGTTGTTAGATTCACTCTCTGTGCTTGGTTCTCTCCGCTGTTGGGAATGTGTCAGCTGACATCTGTGGAGTCACTCGGGGCCGCGTGGGGAGCTGCCCTTTTCATGGTGAGGGCACTGCAGCTGGAATGCTTAAAAAATGACAACACCAGGGAAACGCACCGGCAAGTGAGGCAACAGGTATCACCTGGCCTTGCTGTACGAGGCCTCACTACCGGGACGGGTTGGGTGGTGGTGGCACCGGCAGGGTGCGCGCGTCTCAGGAGGACCCGGCGGGGCACCCGACTCAGCGCCGACGCGGGGAGGGCGCGCCGGGCCCCGCGCAGGG